AAGACACTCACCACATGGTTGCTAGGAATTTTGGCTGCTGCTGGATATAGCTTTAACTGTCAATGAGAATTGCTCTGGTCAAAGGGATCTACCTACCCTACAGTTACACTCGCACCAAGCAGTCATCCAGTGTCCAATGATACAGGAATGCAAAGGTTTGGCAGGCCTGCCTCAGTATGGGCCAGCTCTGAATGGCCATCCCAGCTCCAAAGCTCCCTGTATGATGGGCTGATGCCTCATGTGCAGCCACATTAGCAGTCAGGTTCTTGCTCTACCCGACCCTGCCTCCCTCAATTCCTCAGAGGTATACATTCCTCCGAGGACCTGTCTAACCAACTTCTGCCTTCAATATTTTATCTCAGCGTGGGGGTTGGCGGCGGGGAAGGTGAGAGCTGAGCCGGGGCCTTGGGAGAGAAGGAGGGAGGAACTGGTGCGAGGGAAGGTAGGTCCCGAGTGGGAAAGAAGGGGGCTCTCCACCTAGTGGTGGCCAAGCCTCCTTCTCTTTAGAGCCGGAAGAAAACAGGGCAGGCTTAATGGAACTCAGGCAGCAGGGCCTAAGGAAAACTGGACAGCTGGACCTGCCTCCCTGCGCCTTTTCCTTTAGACAGCAATGGATCCTGAGCATCTTGTGCAGAGTTTTGTTTCTCTTTAACCTGAAGAGATGAAGAAATGGGCCTTTCATGTCCCACCTGTCTGAGACCGAGGCTCCAATAGGGACGAGCACATGAGTCTGTTCTCTGGGAGGTCGCGTGGCCCTGCGCACAGGCTCTGTACTGACACACTCTGTGTGGGGCTGGCTTCCACAGACCACTGAACAGCACCCCTCACAGGGGCAAGGCTGGACCGCTCCCCTCTTCAGGGGCAGACATGGCAACTGATGCAGGAGGCGCAGCGGGCCCTAGATGCACCTTCTGCCACCACTGGCTCCCTCTCCCCAAGAGATGACCAGCTGTTCTAGAATCACTGTGTCTTAGGGCAGGCTCGGAGCTGAATCTCAAGACTGTCATTAGAGAAACCAAAGGAATGGGGTGTGTCTGATCTCAGTGCTCGGGGACCTGGCAAGCAGGATGCCAGGCCAGATTTGGGATGGGACAGAAACAGTCAAACTCAGCAGAACATAAATGAGCAAAATGGCAGCCAAAGGACACTTTGCATCAATCCGCTCTGTGGTTTTTCTCCTCGTAATTGCCAGGCACCGGGATTTTTATGAAGAAGCTGCAAACTCCTTCCTGCGTAATTCATCTCCCTGTCTTGCCTCTTATAAATCACCGCCCAGGGACTCCCGTTTCCGGGCCACCCTGTGGCGCCCTCACAGACTCGGCTGTCTTGCCACCTTTTTTTATAGATTTTCTGCTCAGAAAAACACATTTTCACACTTAATATGCATGAAGGGCGGCCATTATTTTCAGCATTTTAGCTTAATTAACAGTAACAACCTGGGCGCAACGTTGGAACTGCAAAGGCCCGGTTCCTCTTCAAGTCAACCTGTTCGTGGGCAGCTCTGGGGTCATTCGTAAGCCAGTGGGGACCTGAGACTCCGCGTGCGGGAGGCACCTGGGAGAAGGGGATCTTTTGGCTGTAGGGGGCTCCGGCCACAGGGCACCCTGGGCAGAGCCAGGCACGGGGCCGTTGGGCAGTGCAGGCAGGGCGGGTTTTGTGCAATTCTGTGCTCTGCCCCCAGGAGAAGGAGCGGAATAGAGGGCAAAAGAAATCCCTGGGCCTCCAGCAGAGGTCTGAGGAGGTGGGCTCTCTGGACCCCACAGAGGCCGCGGAGGAAGAAGGAAAGGAAGTTATCAAGGTGAGCAGACGGGGGACAATGCAGAGAAACTTAGTCAGGGGACCGTTGCCGTGGCCAGCCACAGAATGTTCTAGGATACAGCAGTGAACAGGACATTCAGGCAACGAGCTCCATCCCAGGAGGGAGAGACAGACACCAATGCTGAGACAATAATCCATTCTAGGCATCAATAAGGAGGTACTAGAGAAAGGGACAGCGTGGAGCCTGGGGGCACAGCTTTGGTGGGGGGGCGTGGTCAGGGAAGGCCTCTCAGAGGAGGTGACATTTGATTTGAAACCTGAATGATGAGAAGGACCCAGCCATGCAAAGAGCTAAGCAAGAACATCCCAGGAAGGAAGAGCAAAGGCCCTGCTCAGGGAGCACCTGGTGGGTTGGAGGCCCTCAAGGCTGGGGCGGGCTGGGAGAGGGCAAGAGGCCAGCAGGGCTGGGGGCCAGGCAAGACATCTGGGTGGCCACTGAGGTGCGAAGCAGGGAAGTCACCTGATCCAACTTAGAAAGACCCGGGGCAGCAGGTGAGGAGGCCGGAGAGTAATCAGGAGGCAGCTGCTGTCCTCGGGAGAGAGACAATGCGGGTCACAGGAGCCCGGAGACACTATAGCATCGAGACCCGGGCCAGGGGCCATCAGCGCCCGGTTAGGATGCACAGACTGTGGGGGCTGCAGAGAGCCCTGAGTTTGTCCAGGACAGCTCTGCAATTGCACAGCTGCAGTCATCCAGGCGATGAACACCTGCTGGGCCCCTGCTCCGTGCGAGGCATGGTTCTGGGCCCCAGGGATTGAGTGCTGAACAAAACAGACAAGTCTTCTGCCCTCGCGGAGCTCACACTCCAGTGGGGGACCTGAAACAAGACCTTGGAAGGACCAGCAACAGATGACAAACAGGACAAATGAGTGAACTTTATAGTGTGGCAGGTAGTGACAGGTGCTGGGAGGAAAATATCACAGGGCAAGGGGATGAGGTAGGTTGTCATTTTAAACAGGGTGATCAGAGCAGCTTTATGAGTGGATGGCATTAGTGCAAAAACCTGAAGAGAGCAAGGGAGTGAACCATAGGGACTTCTGGGCAAAGAGCATCCAGGCAGAGGGAACAGCCAGTGCAAAGGCCCTGAGGCAGGAGCAGACCTGGTGCATTCAGGGCGCAGTGAGGAGGCTGGAGCGGCTGGAGCAGAGGGAGTTGGGGGCAAGCGTGGGCCCTGAGGCCGGACTGTGGACTTCACAGGCGAGTGTTTGGATTTTGCTCTCACTGCTGAGGTGGGAGCCCTTGGGGGCTTTTGAGCAGAGGAGGGACATATCTGATTTACCTATTAAAAGAGTCTCCCCAGCTTTTGTGCTGAGAACAGACTGAAGGGGCAAAGGCAGCCTCAGGGAGACCACTGAGGAGGCTGCTGCAGCATCCGAGACAGTGGCTCGGCCCGGGGTGGTCACAGTGGAGGCAGGAAAAGTGGTCAGACTCAGGAAACAATTTGGAGGTAGGAGCCCACAGGATTTACTGAAAGAATGGATATAGGATGTGAAGAAAGAGAAAAGTGAAAACTGAGGTTTTCAAGGTTTGGGCTAGAACACCTGGAAGGCTGGACTTGCCACTAATGGAGACAGTGAAGCCTGTGGTTGGCTGCAGATGGAGAGGAAGATCCGGAGGTCAGACTGGCCTAGTGAATTGTGAGATGGCTGTGGGCATCTAGGTGGAGACATTGGGCTGGCAGGTAGATACATGAGTCTGGACTTCGGGGGACGTTAGAGCTGGACATGTAAATGGGGGAGTCGTCAGCAGTGTCACGAGATTTCAAGCCAGGACAGGGGAAGGTCCCCGAGGGGGTAGGCGGATGGAGAAGGAAGGGCCCCAGGACAGAGCGTGGGGCACCTCCCTGTAAAGGGGCCTGGGAGGGGAGGAGATAGATACCTAGAGAGTGAGGGCCTAGCCAAGGTCACACAGTGGTCAGGGCAGAACCCAGCGGGACTCCAACTGGTCACTGGCCACCTCCTGGGGTCGCCGCAGCATGCTGTCCATAAGCAGGGAGGTCAGAGTGCAGCCCAGAGTGACCTGGGAGCTGTCACTGCACTCAGTGGGGGGAATGAGTTGTGGGGGGTGGGAGGTGGGGAGGGCACTCCTCTCCTTTACAAATGCTCCTTGGGCTCTCAGGGAGCGAGCTGGGAGGGAGCCAGGCAGCTGGCAAAGGGGAGCTCGCTCAGAACTGCCCTCTAAACGCACTGGAGGCAGAGTTTAAGGCACTAAGTCCACGGTGCGGTGACATCCGATGTAACATCCTTCTCAGGGAGGCCTGGGGTGCAGTAGCTCTCGTTGCCTTTCCATCTCCCTAGAACCACGATATGCAGGCCAGGAGGTCCTTTCTGGATTGTCCAGTCCAGCCTCCTCATTCTCGAGTAAGGACACGGAGGCCTAGAGAGAGGTGTGACCACAGCAAGGGACTGGCACAGCAGGGCTTGCACCCGGAGCCTGCACCTGGAGCCCCGACCCGAAGCCCCAAGGAGACGCTTCTGCGGTTGCCCTCCAGGCTCCCGAGCTCATTTCCCGCCCCCAGGGAGCCAGGTGGGAGGTGGGGGAATGGGCCTGGGACCCCTCCATCGAGGCTGTCTGGAGAGGCCGGGAATCTCTGGGTTGTTGGCTGGTTCGTGCAGGAAGACCATGGACCCAGGGAGCTCTGGGCGTGACGCCGAGGCCAGTCAGTGCCCTGGCTCATCGCACAGCCTCTCTTGGTGGACAGCCTCCAGACAGCTCCTCTGGGGGCTCCCTCGTGTCCCCTCAGTGCTGGACAAAGTGCAGCCTGGTGGTCACAGGCACAGACCCTGGAGCCAGGCCCCCTGGGTGGCCTGCTTCTCCCTCTCCTCCTCACTGCCTGTATGGTCTTGAGCAAGTCACCAGACCTCTTTGTCCACAGTGGCTTCATCTGCAAAACAGGGACACAAGCCTCTCTGCATCATAGGGTTAGTGAGAGGTTTAACATACAGAAAGCATTCAGAACGACCCCTGGCACGCACAAGACTCCACAGTGTCAGCTACTATTATTGGGAGAGGTGAGTTCCCTCCACATATGAAAAACCATGGGGCTTCCAGCCACCCCCACCCCTCCAGTCCCAGCTTCCCCACCAGGGGAGGTTTGTTGATGCTCCTCCCAGCAGCTCTCAGCGACTTCCAGGATCCAGCCCCTGGTCAGAACTGGGCAGAGATGTCAGAATTCCCAGCCGGCCCTAGAAGCCCAGAAGACCCCAGAGGATGGGGAGAGCAGGGCCGGCAGGGTGGTGCAGCTCCTGGCAGTCCCTCCTGCCACCTGTAGGGCTCCCAGGGGTTAACGGCACTCTCTGCGCCTCTCCCTTCTTGTTAACTCTGCCTTATTTCACAGCTGACTGCTCCTGTGGAAATTGGAATGAGGATGAACTCCAGGCAGCTGGAAAAGTACCGGGCCGCCCTGGAAGGGCTGCTGAGCGAGGTGCTGCTATCCACACAGAACGGTAGGAGGGGGGCGGTCACTGCTGCTGGGGCCTGGCCTGCGCCCACCCGGTTAATATTCCAGAGCTGGGGGCATCTCAAGGCCCTGCCTCAATGGCTCAGGCCCATTTCCCAAATGCCTTTCTGGCAGAGGGCCACTACCCACCCAACCCTCCCCCTGCTCCAGAGATGCTCATTCCCTCCCCAAACTCCACTGAGGCTCTGGCCACCCTGGGGGGAACCCTGGTGCAGCCCGCGTTTTTTTCACCTGTTCTGCAAATTGAAGTCTTGAGCCCCTTTTCGCCATGCCCAGTTCAAGGTCTGCCCAAGTCACTTGTGCAAAGCGTGGTCCCGTCTAACAGCCAGCCACTAATGACTTCTCACAGTCCCAGAGGAGACAGGCAGGGAGAAAGCGCTGTTCGAGGTGGAGGAGCGGGGAGGTTAAATGACTTGCCCCGGGCTATAGAGAAAGCTGGAGGAAGAGCTTCTAGAAGCCTGGCAAAACCTCCCATCTTGGGTGCCCCCGCCCTCAGACCTGTTAAAGGTGGTTTCATAAGCCGACTTGCTGACACTACTGAGCTGCAAACCCCCTTTGCTTTCTCCAGCAGCCAAGTGACGGCCGCTCCAGGGAGAAGATGGATGGATCCAGCGGCCCCCTCCCACCCGAGGGAGGCCCCGTCATCTGCATAGCCCGTCAGCTGGGCTTGGAAGGAAAACACGCTCTCCCAAGAAAATCCCCCTCCAGCAAATAAAGGGTGAAATATACAGAAACGACTCTTTTATTTAATATTTTAATTTCCAAAGGTCAAACTCAGGCCATGCCATAAAGGGGAAAACAATACAGCTCCGAAGGAGTTGGCCATAAATGGTCATACATTAGCAAAATGTGTGCCTTTTGTAAGTTCTAAGTTAAAATGTTAACTTAGACACATGCAATCGGAAGATGTGCGCCAGCCCTTCCTTTCAAGGCGTGGAAACAGGCCCAGAGAGATGGCGTTGCTTGCCCACACAGAGTCAGTGGCAGAGCAAGGACTGGAATTCAGGTCTCCTGAATCCTGGTCCATTTTCTGTTTACTGATGAGCTTGAGGTCTAATGGACCAGAGAGCGTTAAGGCCTCTGCACTCAACCCTTTCTAACTTCCAGCTAAGCCCTTTAAACTCAATGAGGCTTTGCAAAAGCAAGGTGGTAGTACCTGCCTTGAGACGTGGGGACAGAGGCACCAGCAAAGAGCAAATTACTATTATTACTATCACCTTGTGACTACACGTGCCAGCATCTGCAACAGAATCACACAGCCAACCCACTTATTTCTGCCTTCTACACAAAACTGGATGGGAAATTTCATTCTAATTTAATTTTACTTTAATGAATGTTCATTTATTTATAAACTGGGGCCATATAGGAACCACAGCTCCCTCGATCCATAGGCTACTAGCAGTTAGACACAGTGTCCCTTCTGTATTTCCACTCCCCCAAACACTGCAAGCGCTTAGCCACAGATAGTAGTTGGTGAAACAAGAAGCCCCCAACCCTTCAAAGGGACCCTTGTTTGGGTGCTCTGAATGGTCCTGAGGAACACCCAAACCTTACATGGGACCAGCCCCCAAGCTGACCCAATTTGCAATGCACGGACCGATCAACGCAAGCGTGGCTGCGTGTTCCTGGGCAACGCTGCCAAGACACCGGGTGAAAACAGAGAGAGAGGCTGCAGCAGGGCATGAGGGGAGAGAAAGGAGGCAGACTCAGGAACCTATAAAGCCTCGATTGGGAGAACCTGGAGCCAAGACTCCTCCTCGCCCATGCGAGTCCCACCGTGCCGGCTTACCCCATTATCAGTAACGCACTTCAAGGGGCAGAAAAGCAAATTGCTCCCTGTCTCCTTCCATGTGGAAAATACAGACTGTGTCTTTTCCTCACCCTCTGCTCGGATCTCCTCCTACAGTGAGACCACCCTCCCCATCACCAGCAGGGGGTGCCCCATCCTGGGGCAGGGGCCCCAGCACCCTCTCCGGAATGTTCCTAAAGGTCCTGGGGGTTGTACAGCAGTGCTGAAATAAGTGCCACAGAGGGAAATAAGACTCTCCAGGGGATTTCGCCCCAGGTGGTCTGCATTTTTTTTAATGAGAATTGGTTCAGCAACCACAGCACCTAGGGAGCATGCAGGTGCTCTCCGTCCTGCGGCACAGCCCTGTTCAAAGCTCAGCGCAGCAGCCAGGGTGTCCCGACCCTCGCCCGGTGGCCTGTGATGTGCTTCTCGGTAATGAGCTGCAACAGGGACCCTGCCACCACCTGCATCTGTATGCACAGGCCGCGGCCGCCTGTTCAGATGTGTCGGCTCCTTTCTTCTCTCGTTTTCCTCCTCCTGCCACTGTTCGATTTCTCACAATGGGCTCAAATAATTCTTTTTCTCCAACGAGCTCCTCCAGTTTCCAGGACAGCGGACTCGATTGCTTACAGGCCATGCAGAGCCCTGGAAAAAATTAAAACTGGGGGAAGGTTGGGGAGGATTCTGTGAGCTGAGCCAAGAGAAAATGACCATGTTTTCACAAGACAGAAGTAAAGAGAGATGCACCTTGGTTAAAGCTGCAGCACGCCTGGACCAGGATCACGGATGGGGAGGGTGCCCAGAGGAACCAGCAAGGAGAGGACGCGGTCCTCCTCACACAGCACTGAGGTCTATCCAGCAAAATCTGTGAGAATCTCTCCAGATACCTGGCAATTAGGGAGAGTTACCCATTCCCCCGTCTGCATCTGGAATCTACTTTACACTTAACAGGACCCCAGGTAATTATAGGGCAAGCTGAACCTTGCTTCACAAGATGGAGATGATGAGGTATTTTCTCTGTAACCACATTGGCAGGATTTTATAATTACTGAGCTACGTGGATTTGCCATGAAATTGAATAGTTAAAAGCAAAGAGTAATTGCCTGATATGTGTACTCTGTAATTTGCTATAATCTAATCATGGACAAAGCCCAAAAGAAAATGTTCTGAAAGCATTACGTTTTTCTTCATACACAATTTCTTACTGACACTGGGAAATGCATTCCATGCCCCTAAAGGAACTCTTACCCACAGATGGCAAAGTGTGTGAGTGGCCGAAAGCTCAAGAGTTGTCATTTTCAGCCAATTATGAAAAGCAGGTGACATAACTGCCCTTTAAACCCATTTTGGCATTTCTCTGTGACTCTATTTGTCCCTTCGTTGATCTAGAGAGAAGAAAAGGGTGACCCTCCCCTTTCATAGGGCACTGAGATGAGGCAGCAAGAAGTGGGGCGGTGCCGGGGCCCATTCCAGTCAAAACTGGAGCCCAAGATGGCACCCACTTGGTCCTCCCTTCTCAACCACGCTCTCCCGGTGTCCCCCCCACCCACCCACAACAGTGTGGCACCACCCATGAGTGTGGTTCAAAGGACGCCCAGAATAACTGAGAGGTACACCAGAGGCCAGTGACGAGGTGGAGCAAGGACAGGTGCACAGTCCCCGAGCACCTTTAAGGATCTGATAAATGTGTGCAGGGCTTTTTGCAGGAAGAGAAGGAATGGAACCCACTAAAAGATTTATGGCTGTTATTATTATAAGGCTCCACTGAGACAGGGAGAGGTCAGCAGGACGGCAGGCAGCGTGGCAGCCCTCTGGGAACCCAGCGAGTCTGCCGCACGGGCCCTCACCTCTACTCACTGTGTGGATGTGGTTACTAAGTAGATTTAGACAGTGGAGCTTGTTTTTCTTCTTTTGCCCTTAATAAATCAAGAAGACCAACCACAGGCTGAGCTGCTCATCTTAAAAAAACCCACCACAAAGTGATGAGAAAGGAGGGCATGCAGGGCGGCCGCTGACTTTGCAATATTGCCCTTTTCTTTAAAATACGTGTGCCCATACTCGACAGGCCCAGTCAAAGAACTGCACTGAAGACACACAAAGGCAGACTCCGAGAGGCCCCGCACGGGCCTCAGGGGCAGCTCCCGACACGACGCAGTGGTGGCAAAGAAGCACGGAGGCCTGGCCCTCGTGTGTCGGGGAGACACAAGGGTCAGGGAAGGCAGTATGGAGATGGTGGCATGGAGGAAAGGGAACAGCAACAAGCATATTCACCAAAGCGGGGGAAAGGGCCTTGCGGGGAGGATGCTGATGGAGGGCCGTGGAGGCTCATCAATCCAGGGAGGGCAGGGCTGGTCAGGGAGTTCAGGAGGAAGAGGGGAAGGCCGACACCTGGGAGGAACGATTAACTTCTGAGGTTTTTTCTGATTGACTTTCTCAACCAGATTGTGAGGTTTCTTTCCAGAGGGGGGAGCGGAGGGAGGCACTGATGGGCAAAGATGCTGTAAGTGGGGGCAACTACAGCAAAGTTCTGCTCCACTCAGCAAGACAAGGCCAGGGGCTGCCAGAAGCCACCGTGGAGGCAGACGGTGGACCACACGGGGAAAGGGCACTGCAAACATCATAGGTTCTAGGCTAGCGGGAGGACATCTGGGTTGGTGGCAGAGGGAGGAGAGGCTATGGGTCATTTGGCCCTCGGTGCGTGTAGCAGCAGCAGAGTCCCCAAACACAAGGCAGGCTGACAAAGCCCACACTGGGGACCACCGCTGGGGGTGGCTCTAGTTCATATTTTTAAATCGCCCAGAGATCCATTATGATGAAATAGACCATAACTCTGCAAAATGCTGTAACGTTAACTTTGTTTAAGCATCCGTTTCAAGCCCTCTTAGAATGCACAGGGCCAGTACTGATGCCGAAAGGCTCATTCTTTATATATTGAACCGCACAGCTGCAAGGAGTTGCACAAATGTTACCGACTCATTTGTCATGCAAACAGTGCTTCAGAAAGAAATAAAATACTATTATGTGGTATATGTGTTAGGCAATCACTATATCAAATTCATGGCATTCCGTGCAAACACAGGCGGGGAAAAGGAAAACAACACTTGGTGAGAGAAATCACACCACGTGGGAGCAGCTAAGTCGGGCAAGATGGGAAGGCTAACAACGGAAGCCTGACCATGCCCAGGCTGTAATTTTCCTAGCAACGTGGTCAGTGTTGAATACCCCTGTGGGCAGCAAGTGGCAGGAATGCAAACCACCGGCAGAGGGGCCTTGCCCAGGGAGCCGGGGAGGGGACAGGACGACGGGAGGGGACAAGGTGGGGGCTGGGCAATGGGACTGCAGGGGAGGAGGGGAGCATGTGGAAGAGAACTGAATTCCAGGGGGTTAAATGGAACGGAACCTAAGGCCGGCAATAAACCTGTGGGAAAGGCAGTTGATGAGGGCTGTGGAAGGAATACAAAGAGGGAGAGGGAGGCGGGAGGAAGACCAGGAACCAGGACTCTAGTTCCACTGGCCACCACTCCCCAGCTTCCCTTAGGGGTTTCTCGCTGAGAGCGTTCCTGCCCTGTGAGAGGTTCTCCACAGCAACGAGGCTGCAGAGACACGGGTGAAGTATGCACACTCAGGCGCATGTGCAGGCGCTGTCCTAAGCACCCTACACAAATCGCCTCTGTAATCCTCACAGCAACCCTAGAAGATTTACTGGCCAACAGGCTAGAAATGTTAACTGGATATGATCATACATCTAATGGTGGCAGAGTAGGGATTCGAGCGCACCCAGCCTAAATCCACAAGTGACATAGACTGTGTCTCTGGGTCCTCCCCTACCTATCTCTTGGGCTGGGCTAAGGCTGCGCCCTCGCGGTGGCTGCGATGCCTTCCTCCGCCGCAGGCGCCCCTCGAAGGCCGGCGTCTGTCTGTCCCGGGGCAGGGCCCGCACCCGCCAGCGCTCAGTGGCGGCCGCGACCTGAGGTCTGACTGGTCTCAAGGCAGACCTGGGTCTATCCACGACCCAAAAAACGCCTTCCCTGAGCGCTGAAGGGGTCACCCATCGGGCCCCAAGCACAGAGAGGGGCAAAGGATCCCGTCTTCCCACTCTCGGCAAAGGTTTGTCTTTCACCATTAAGCAATTCATCTATTAAATCAACACTTTATTGAGCGCCTACCACATGCCAGGGACCGCGCGAGGGGCCGAGGATTCAGAGATAAGCACCTCTTGGTCTGACAGACGAGGAGAAGGACTGAGCAAGGAGGGGAAAGAAAAAAGAAACAAGAGACACAAACCTTCGGACCTCCCCAATATGGCAGCCGTGAGGCCGAGTCTGACCTCCTCATCATGGCCGGCCCGCCAAGGCAGACGCAGACCTCCTCAACATGGCGGCCATGACGGACCTTCCCATCATGGCGCAGGGCCCCGCCCGCGCCGCCGCCGCCGCCGCTGCCGGCGGGAGCAGTTCCGGGTGCGGGGAGCGCCGGGGGCGGGTGGGGGCGGCGTCCTGGCCATGGCCGGCCTGTCGGACCTGGAGCTGCGGCGGGAGCTGCAGGCCCTGGGCTTCCAGCCAGGACCCATCACCGACACCACCCGGGACGTCTACCGCAACAAGCTGCGCCGCCTGCGGGGCGAGGCCCGGCTACGCGGCGAGGAGCGGCTGCGGGAGGAGGCCCGGCCGCGGAGCGAGGAGCGGCTGCGGGAGGAGGCCCGGCTGCGCGAGGAGGCGCCGCTGCGCGCCCGGCCCGCCGCGGCTTCTCTGCGGGTGGAGCCCTGGCTCTCGCCGCCGGCCTCGGGCTCGGCCTACGCGACTTCTGGGGTCTACGGCGACCTCGGGGCCTCCGCGGCCTCCTGGTCCGGGAGCCGCGGCCTCGCCTACCCCGCGCGCCCCGCGCCGCTCAGGCGCCGCGCCTCGGTCCGGGGCAGCTCCGAGGAGGACGAGGACGCCCGGCCGCTCAACAGGGCCGCGCCGGGCCTGGGCCCCGGAGTCCGCCGCTGGTGGGCCGCGTCCCCGGCGCCGGCGCGGCCGCCCTCCGCCCTCCTCGGCCCCGACCCGCGCCCGGGCCTGCGGGCGACGCGAGCGGGCGCAGCGGGCGCGGCGCGGGCCCGGCCCGAGGCGGGGCGGCGGCTGGAGCGCTGCCTGTCCCGGCTCCTGTTCTGGGCCAGCCTGGGGCTGCTGCTCGTCTTCCTGGGCATCCTCTGGGTGAAGATGGGCAAGCCCTCGGCGCCGCAGGAGGCGGAGGACAACAGTACGTCCCGGGCCGGCGCAGGGGAGGGCCCCGGGCGCGCGCGTGTCCGCCACCACGACCACCCGTCCTCAGCGCCCTGCTGCACGCTCCCGGGCCTGGGCAGCCGCCTCTTCCCTCCGGACTGGGACTTTCCTTCCTCCAGCTGTGGGAGGAGAGGGCGGAATTCCTGCACCTGCAATAATTTCTGTCTTCACTTTCTCCTGCTCTCATTTCCTGCCCTAGCCCGCCCTACTAACCTCGCTTTCAACCACGTGCAGGAAGCAGTGTCCATTCCTACTCACTTTTACCCCAACCTCTGGTTTTCCCCGTCTAGAGAAAGCCACTCCCCCCTCTAACAGTCCTCTCCCGTTCCTTTTAATTTTTTCTTTTGATCTTGCTCCTTCACATATTAGTGCCCATTTGAAGGCACCCCATGTTTCACTGCCCACAGATGGGATCTGGTTGGGGGCCCAGCTTTGCAGCACCAGAAAGGCCACGGGCTCCACTTCTTTGGACTACAGGGCCCTCATTTGTCAGAAGGAGGTTGTGCTAGCCCTGCTTATGAGACAGGTGTGCAAGAACCTTTTAAAGAGTTTGAACTGATATAAACAGAGGTGTTTATCATTGCGGGCAGCACCCTCCTGAAGTGCTGTCAGGAGAGGGTCCTGTGGGTCAAGGACGTTGCCAGCCCTGCTTCTGTCCACACTTGGTTATGTGATTAGACATGCCAATCAGAGCTTTGCAGGACACAGCATGTTTCCTGAGTTGCTGAGGATTTGTGAGTTTCCGAAAAGGGAACTTTGCCTCTCGGGTAATTCTGGGCTCTGGTCTAACAGGAAACAACACAGAGATCATCTCTTTATCAATTTAAGTATAAAATGACACTGTAGCTCACCAACTTTTAACATTCTTTGCAAAGCATAAATGTGATTCATGCTGTTCCCAGCTTCGAGCCAAGGCCACATCTTTCCATACCTAGCAGGAACAGCCAAAATGCAAGGAAAAGTTAAATTATGTACTAGCTGGTGCAGGAGAAGCATGTTTACGTGTATGAACATGTCTGTGGGCATGGGGATCCCAGACTCGTGCACACACCAAGTAACGTCCTTACTATGAGAGCAGTTTCTCCACCTCTAGAGAAATTAAGCAGCCCCAGGAGTGTCCTGGTACCGTAACTGCACTGGTGACGTGGAACAGTATCCTGTCATACTTACTGCCAAGATGCTTTAAAACAGCAGCTCTTGGGTATATACTGGGATTTACCTGGAGTTCCCCTCTCGTGATGGTATTAATCCCTGTTTAACATACCCTTGTTTACAATTTACAGAGCCATCATGCATGTTGCCTTATTTGAGGCTAACTCCCTGAGTTAATCAGGGAAGTCTTTATTGATCCCATTTCACAGATGAGGAAACAGAGGTTCAGAGTGGTTAAGTGAGTTGCCCTAGAGCCCTTGGCTAATCATATTCACCTGGGATTTAGGACCTAGCTGTCCTAATTCCTAATCCAGGACGGGGAAACCCTTACATTTTACTGCCTGCATTTTAAAACTGCCTCATTTATATGACATCTTTCTAACCTCCACCCTTACGTTGGTAATATTTTACCTGCCCTGAATTTGAGACCAGTCCCTTTTGTACTCTTTTCCTCATGCCACACTTTTAATTTCCTCTGTGTTTCTTTTCTTGGTCTCAGTGAAATTATTGCCAGTGGACTGTGAGAAAAAAACAGATGAGGTGAGTTGGAGTTTCTCTAGCTTTTGTCATTCCTCCCAAGGATGTTAGCCTCCATCAGGAGGTAAACTTCCCCAGAAAAAGATCATAATAGCATCATTTTCAGGAGTCCTTCCCGTAATGTACCAGAAACACATCGTGTTCTGTGATGTTTGTGTCAGACTCAATTGTGGCAGTGAAGGAGTACTTGAAACAGGGAATTGAGCTCCCCAGATCCAACCTTGGGCTCGTTACGGAAGCGCTGCCATCAATCACAGTGTTGGAGACTTTGATTTCTGCCTAAGTCGATCTAGGGGGATGCGGTAGGTTGTGGTTGGAGGACCTCTCAAGCTCCCCGGCTTCAGGAGGAAGGGCTGGCAGTTTTTAAGCATGAGGAGGCCAGGTTCTCGGTTCCACATTCTCCCCTCCAGTAGTACATCTGTGGCTCTGAAAATGCCATGCTGATTTGAAACATCATGGGGGGCAGGGGGAGGATGGCGTTTTAAAAACATCTGAAGTGGAATTAGCCCTCTTAGTCTATAGATTTGTTTTATGAAGCTTTAATGTTCCCTACAAATAATATTTGGGGAAGGCGAGCAGCCCCATTCATTTATGAGTCATGAAGGCAGCATTAGCGAGGAGCTGGCTTGCTGGTACAGGTGGTAGTCTGGGGAAGAGAGGAGGCAGTAAATTTTCAGGTCATAAATCCTACCAGGAGAAGCCTTGTGCTGCCAGAGGGCATGACTTAGTAGTCTAATTATTAAGTGTGCAGTGCCAGGCCTCCCAGAGCCCAGTTCACGTCTCTGGCAGCCTGGGGGCTGGGAGAGAAGTGACACATGGTCAGCTCCATGCCCCTGCATTGACTGGCACCCACGTTCATGAAGGGACATCCTGGTGCAGAGAACTGGTTTTATTTCTCTCTGGCTTCTGCTGTGTCATAGTTGGGGGTGTTTTATCACATTCATTTATTGCATTCATCTACCAAATCTCTTTTCTTCCCGATTGTTTTGTAGAAACAGATTCATAATAAGTTGACTCTGCCTTCCATCATAAAAACCACAGCTGATGCTTAGAGGCAGTGGCCCAGAAACGGAGGCAGTGGCCAGAGGGGAAACTAGAATTTGGAAGACTGAAAATAAAAACAGGAGAAAACAACTTTTCTGTTAGACTCCTCTGCTGATGTTAGTTTTGTTTGTCTTTTAATTAGAAATGGGTTCCCTGGGGTCTTTGTCTTGGTTCTTCCCATGTCTAAATGTGTCAGGCCCACAACTGAATGACAGATTTGCTCCCTGGCCCTCCTCCAAGCTAGACAGGCCCACGCCCCACCTGAGTGAGCCCAGGTCCCACTGGAGCTGTGCTCGCTGGGCATCCTGGGTGCCTGTAACCTCAGCGCACTGGAAGGCAGGGTCTGGCCCTACCATCGCAGGCTCTGTGGAGCTGGGACTTCACAGGCGCCCTTGCCTCCACGGAGGGTGGATGCGGGAACAGGCAGGTCGGGAGGCGCTTTTCTTGGCTCTGGTGAGGTTCTTGCTGGAAGTCCAGCTCCTCGTGTGGCTCCGGCTCACCCAGACCCGACGGGTGTCTGAGTTCAGATACACGTGTTCCTTGCCTCCTCAGCCGACTGCAACACTTGGTGCTTGTCCTTCTGCCTTTGTGCTGCTGAAAACGTGGGGACAGCTGGGGGTGGGTGTGTTGTCTTAATCAGGCCGTCTCGTTGTCTGGTACCTTCTGTCCTCCAGTTTCCTTTACGTGGTATCAGCCCTGCTTTGCTTAATTTGGAACAGTGTTAATTGTTACTGCTTTTTTTTCTAGTTGTGACAGTAATAGATGTTTAGTGTAGAAAATTTGAAAAACGTGCCAAAGAAAAATCACCCATGATTCTGCCACCTAGAGATAATCCCCATTACGTTTTGGGGGCCTTTCCTTCCCATCTTACCTCTCTGTGGATGTTTGTTTACAGCACTGGGATCTCGTGTGTATTCCATTACATTTAACGCTTATTATCACTATTTCCCATACTCTTAAATACTCTTTAAAAAGTAGTTTGGGTGCAGAACTCTACTAGTCGGCATGTGAGTTGTTTCTGAACGTTTGTGGTCATGTGTATAAATCTTGGTTACCTCATTTGGTACCTTGCAAAGGCTTTAGGGTCTTTAGGCACCATAAGGGGCCTCCGAGACTGTTGGAAACCGAGGCAGATGAGGGCAGCTAATGAGCCTGAGAAGGACTTTGGTTCCTTCTGTAGCTGCAGAGGCAGGTCCAGAACCCGGGCCCTCGGCCCAATGACAGCCCACAGGAGGCCCGAGTGTGGGACGTGGGCCTGGAGTCCCCAGCAGCACTCCACCACTTACGAGCTGTGGGATCTTGGTGGCCCGAAGTCTCTAACCCTCAGGCTCCTCATCTGAGAAGTTGGGGTACAGTAAGGATTGCAGCGAGGATTCAGTGCGTGCTCCAGTATCAGCCACTCCCACAGCACCTGGCCCATCGTCCGCTCTCAATGGAGAGCAGCCTTGTTTTTTAATGTTCTAAATCCAGTAAGTCTAGCAAAGTGGCATGAGTTCTGTCACAGGTGCTGGAGGACTAGGTATGCATATATTCCTGTTCCTGTTTTCTCATACAGATGACTTTTTCCCCCTACAGTTTCAATAGTTCTAGAAATTTTCCATTTCTAGGGGAATCCAGTCTCAGATTAAACATTTGCAACAGATAATCCACAAGGCAGACTATCCACAGGCAGACTGTAGACGCTGGACTCTCCAGAAATGGACGGGAGTGACCCTGGGGGAGACAGGATGGCAGTTGCACAGCAGGTGCTTTTCCCTTCGAGGAAGCCAGGCTCCTGCGTTTCCCCCATAGCCACATCACCTCTGCTCCACGCCCCACTCAGTGTCCTTTATTCCAGCAGGAGCCGTGGGGCGGAGGCCGGAGAGCCGCCAGGATGGCAGACGTTTGGTTACTGCGTCTCCTGCGGCCCGGCCTCAGCTTTCGCAGTGTTCCTTTCAGTCAGTTAACCCTGTCCCTGGGCCCACTACTTGCAGAATTTGCTTTTATCTTCTAAAAGCCTGAGGTGTTCCTTGCTGCTTAGTACTGGCAGTGTGTCTGAGGAGGTAAACCAAACAGACAGATCCCCTCCCACCCCCTCCTTGCTGACCGCTTGTCCTGTGCCCTTTCAGTTCTGTCAGGCCAAGCAGAAGGCCGCCCTGCTGGAGCTGCTGCATGAGCTGTACAACTTCCTGGCCGTCCAAGCCGGTGAGTAGGTCCGTGAGGCCAAGATTCCTTGGGAGCAGGTTGTGGGCCACTGTCCTAATGAGTTAGGGCAAGGCTGGCCGGCAGCCCACTGAGACACTCTGTGGTCATCTCCCCAAAGACATACTCAGAAACCGAGTCTCCCTTTCCCCCCCTTCCCCACTCAGACACGAACACATTCGGTTCTCACATCCCCTTTAAGGGTCCCAGGGGTCCTGGCACATGCACAGGCCTTCCACAGATTTGCTCCCTTCTCTGCATGCCCCCTACCTGATGCTTTGAGGGGTCTGTGTTGCATTGGAAGGGGCCAGGCCCCAGATATTCTCAGGGCCTCAGTCTCCTCATCTAACCAAGTAATCTTGGGTCTTTCTTTTCTTTTTTTTTTTTAAAGATTGGCACCTGAACTAACAACTATTGCCAATCTTTTTTTTTTTTTTTCCTGCTTTATCTCCCCAACCCGCCATACATAGTTGTATATCTTAGTTGCAGGTCATTCTAGTTGTGGCTAGGTCTTTCTTTTCTTTACAAAATGAAAACCAAGTGCTCTGCTGTAGATGAGGCATTCTCAGCACCCTCGTGAAACAGGCCCTGAAAACTCCTCCATCCAGAAGGCTCCCCTACTGTTTTATTTGGTAAATGCGTTCCTTGAGGCCAGAGGTGTCCCCTGCAGTACTGTGTCCTCTCCCACACCTGGCGTCTCGGCAGCTCTCAAAATCACTTGCTGACAACACAGATGAAGGTCCAGGGCTTGTGCCTCACGTTAAATACACTTGACAGGGGAACCAGACGGAGCTGTTCAGTCTTAGGGGATGTCAGAAGGCATCTGCGGGGCCGACCCCTGTCTGAGGTTGTCACTGGGAAGTCACGGTTGGGTGGACTTGTACTGGGCCCCAGTCCTCAAGGCCAGTCTTGTGGGCCTCGGCTCTGCCACCTCCTCCCTCCTGACTGGTGGGAGACTGGGGATGGTCAGGAGGTGTCTGTGAGCTCCTCAGAGGGACAGTAGGAACTGGGGCCCACAGAGTCGTGGTCATCATGAGCACTTCTTTCGGGCCCAGTGCTTGGAATATGAATTCTGGCCTAAGGGTGTTCCAAACCTTAGTGACTCTTGTGGTCCGAGAACCAGCAACCTCAGCATCACTTGGGAGCTTATTGGAAATGCAGAATCTCAGGTTCCATCCCAAACCTTTGAATCAGAATCTGCATTTTAATGAGACCCCCAGGGGATAAAGCTGAGAAGCTTTGCTCTTAAGCTGTGGGTCCTAGTTAACATTTGTCTTCCACCCACCCTCCATGTGGTCCTGGCTTATGCTGTCAGGGAGCCCTGTCCTCTGACTAGACCGGCAGGGGCAGCCCTGAGGGTGCATCTCACTGAGACAGGATGCAGGGGGTTGCCGGCTTTCTGCTAGGCCATGCTCCCTCCCTACACCTCCTGAGGAGATCAGCTACGGGCAGGGCACTGTGCCGGCCTTGGCCTTCGTAGGACATGAGATGACTCAGCCCAGGCTCCTACTGCAGGCTGCTTGTGGTCCGGTAGAAGAGACAGGCCACCTGCCTCCCTGACACTGGGTGATATAAGATGCGATGAACTGAGAATCGAGAGGCCGGAAGTTCCAGGAGGCACGGTGCTTTTTAGCTGGAGCCGTCAGGAAAGCGACAAGAGGGAGGTGGCATGTGTGCCAGGCCCTCAAGCCCCAGCAGGATTGATTGTGTCTATGTGGGGCAAGGTGGGGCCAAAGAGCAGGAAAGTACAGGGTCAGAGATGGAAGCAGTTGGCTTCAGGGGAAGGAGAAGCGGAGGGAAGGGAGTTGGGAAATGAGTTGGGAAATGTCGGTTGGGCCAGGCCCCCAGGCTTGATCCCGCAGGCACAGAGAGGGCCAGGAGGCGCTTGAGCAGGGGAGTGAGTGCGGAGAGCCGGGCGCCAGGAAGGCTAACGCGGCAGCAGCTCGAGTGGGCTAGTGTCCCTGCAGCAGAATCATGTTAGAGCTTTGTTGACCAAACATGGAGGAGACGGGGAGAGGAGGGAAACCAGTCAGGTGGCCGTGGCCCCGGCAGGGCAGTCTGGGTGGGGGCAGGAGGACGGGAGAAACTTGGTCTCAGTGGACCAAGAGGACCAAGATCAACCTTGAAGTTGGTCTTGAGGATCTGGCCGTGTTGGGGGTGGGAGACGGGCTTCAGTTCATTCTCAAAGTTTTTTAACATTACCGTCAGCCACTTCCTCCCCAGCACACAGACAAACACAGACTGGCTATCTGAAGCCCCACGCTGTGCCGGGTCAAGAGCGGTCAGGCCATGTGTGACGGCCCAGGATCTTGTACGTGCACAGCCCCGTGCTGTCCCTGCTTTCAAGGAGCCTAGTGGACCCACGGGAAGGCCTGTGTGCTAGGTGATGCAGAGTGGGCGACAGCGAGCCAGGGGCTGTGGCAGACTGCCAAGTCCAGAGCGATTTGGCCAAACAGGAGACCCCCATGGGCTAGGGGTTCTTCAGAGGAGGTGGTCTGTGGGCTGGGCCTGGAAGGCTGTCAGGACTGAGGGGGATGCTCCCACCTCCACCTTTGGTGGGAGCCAGCTGCCCAGGGTGCTCGGAAGGGAGCTGCCCCCTGGAGCACCACACCGAGGCCCTGCTGCCCAGCACCCAGACACCCCCTTCCTCTTTGGGGCATTCTGGACATGTCTCCCAAGGACCCCTCAAAACAGTGGGCCTGGCATTCCAGGTCACCTGCCTGTGTCACAAGTCGAAATCCCTGCGGTGCCTGTGGCCTCCCTGCCGTTCTTTTTTCCCAGGCTGTGTTTATTTATAGTGCCATTCCAGTACCTTCCAGAGCTATCTGTCTGATCCTTTTAGGGATCAATTGCAAACAGACCTCAGTATTGGGCAGCTTTTTAGTCATTTAATGCAAATTGCCGCACTGCTTTGCAGGTCAGGTTTTAATGATCTGGAATCGATCCAAGCTAAGTGGCTTTTGATCCTACCGCAGAGTGAAGATGCCCCACAGAAGCTGGAGCTGCCGGGCTGCATGCTCCCCGTCAGCGCTGATGGCTTGATTCTGCTGCATTTTTTAGTCCATTTCAGAGTCATTTTTTTTCACCTCTTCTCTGTGTGTGAATGTGTGTTTTCTCCTCCTAGGTAATTTTGAATGTGGAAATCCAGAGAAGCTAAAAAGCAAATGCATCCCTGTAATGGAGGCGCAGGAACATGTAGCAGTAAGTAGGCTGCGTCGTCTCCACTCCCGGAGGTCCTGGGGCTTTTGTATTGATCGTTCAAGCCCGGCAGTGTTTCTGAGTTTGCTGTTTGGCATTTTTTCTTTCTTTTTTTTTTTTTTTAACTTAGTTGAGAGTTAGGCTCCCTTGAGTTAAGGCAGCAGTCGGTGACTGGGCCCAAGGTGAGCTTGAGCGTGAGCCAGGACTGCTGTGTGGACGGGCAGCTCACCACCGACCTCCTGCTCTTTGAGCAGCTGGTGTGGCCGCGGCAGGTCCCCTTTCTTTGAGTGGCCCTGTCACTTACTCCTCCTTTGGTTCACTTTTCTCCCCTTCTCAGCAGCTTTAAGGACACACATTTACCCTGTCTGTCCTCTCCCCTTACGGTGACCGTGTAGATTGCTCAGGTGCATTTGATTTTCCGTGTGGCCTCAGGATGATAGGATTATGGATCTGTGGAGCTGGCGGAAACCTTAGGGGTGCCTAGGCCAATTTTCATTTCACAGACGAGGAAACTGAGGCCCAGAGAGGGGCAGGGACTTGCTCAAGGCTGCATAGCTGGGACTGGCCACCAGGCCCCCAACCCCCACACTTTTTTTCATTTTACCCAAGATGAGCTGCCAGCTCTCCTGCCTGATGCTTTAGTCCTTGAGAAAATTATATCCTTTTGGCTGTCTCAGACCTGCATTGTTTTCCTGTGTGTGCTTCCACATCGCTTCCTCCCGTTACAGCCTCTTCCTTGGCTCTCGTCAGCCCCAGATTTCCTTCCTGCCAGTTTGCTGGGCATTCAGCGGAACAGGGCTTTGAGGCATGCATAGGACACGGCAAGGGCTTCCTTAATCCAGCAGCAGAGTAATGTTGCTCCACAGCTTCGCCCAGATGCAGAACTAATCCTCTCCCGCCCCCTCCCACAGAATGTGACTGGCAGCTCTTCCACCAAGTTTGAAGCCGCACTGACCTGGATACTGAGCAGTAACAAGGACGTGGGCATCTGGTGAGTGTGGGCTGGCCATCACGAGGTGGCGGCACAGCTGTGGGCACCTGCGGCCACTGTCCTGACCCTTCAGCTGACTCTTGTGCTCCAACAGAGGTGTCGCGGGTCTGAAGTTAGAGGGCGGGTCTTCCAGCTGAGTTGCTGTGGGCTAGGCTTGAAGCTGGGCAGCCTTAGGAATGCGATAGAAGGAGCAGTTTCAAGATGAGACACAGAATCCAGATGTCAGCATGCTAGCCTTGTGTCAAGTAACTCAGTCTGTGCCCTTTTAGTTCACTGGCCCCGCACAGTTGGCTGGAGAAGGCATTTTTCTGCACTTCTTTTCCTTGGGTGCGAGGTTTCATTTGTAGACGAAATGATTCTGTATGTTGGTTTCACACAGTATGGAGATTGCAAAAGGAAAGACTGGATTTTATTCTGACTGGGCAGTCCACCTCCTTTCTCTCTGGGGAGCACTGTTGGCAGAGATAGCGAGCCCTTTCACCCTGCTGAAAGGCCCCACCTGGCTGCTCAGGGGGTGGGGGATGCGCCAGCCAGTGGGGGACAAGCCTGAGAAGTCCCCCTGCTGCAAAAGCACTCGCCTCGGCACCCGCTCCCACCTCCCAGGCTTTGTCAGGTCTCTGGTCAGGTTACGGCTCCTGATATTAGAACACTCTGGGGTTTTGTTCTCTGCCTCCCTAATCCACCCAAATCACTAATTCCATCAGCAGTGCATCCAGCAGGGGCCCCTGGGCGCTCAGCCTAGAGCTTGATAACTGGATGCATGGCATGATTAAAATTCGTTGGCTGAAAAAAAAGAAAGCTTCCCTGAGTGGCTGAGCGATTTTCCCTTGTGTTGGAAAAGGCGGAGGAGAGTGCGGATTTTCTCCTCGGCAGCACTCGCTCGCCAAGGCTGCTGACGCAGAAGAGTGATGACAGCCGCCTTTTCACACTGGGGAAGGCAGCCTGGAGGGGGCTGAGCCCAGCTCAGATGATCAGTGTTAAAAGGGGGTCGTGAGAAATCAGGACACTTCAGGTACCAGCCTTTCCGGTGTGCGGGCCAGAGCATGATGCTGTCACCTAGCTGGAAGAAGGAGCAGGTGTCGGCGTCCCTGCGGGTCCTGACACGTCCTCACCCCGGGCAGGGTGGAGGCGCTGTGGCTAGGGTCTGCACGGGGAGCCTGGCCATTTTCATTCCCCTGAGCCTCGCGGCGCCCCATGATGTCTACACTTAAACAGCTTATGTGCGTCCTCGTCGCCGAGGACAAGCACACCCTCCCAGACTCTGCCTTTTCAGTTCTTGCCATGCAGCGCGAAGCCAGCGATTCAGTAAACATTTCCATTTCTCTGTGCTGGGAGGTGGGAATCCAATTTACAGTTTAATCTTCCACACGCTGAGAGGGGCTGTCAAAGACCCGACAGAGGGGGACGTCACTTTAGCGGTAGGGGTTCAAGCCTGCTGCCGTCTTTAAAGCTTTATTCTTTCTAAGTAGCCAACGTGGGAAATTTCTGGGCAGAGTGCTATCAGGATACCAAGTCTATTTTATAAGTAAGGAGAGGGCTTGAGGCCCCTCCTTCCTTCTCCTTCTGCTTGAAGTGGAGCATATACGGCGGCTCCTCGGAGCTTTTGAACATGTTTACAATCCTGTGTCCTGTCTCAGGTTGAAAGGGGAAGACCCGTCAGAGTTGGTGACAACGGTAGACAAGGTGGTCTGCCTGGAGTCCGCCCGCCCCCGCATGGGTGTTGGCTGCCGCCTGAGCCGCGCCCTGCTCACCGCCGTCACCAACGTGCTCATCTTCTTCTGGTGTAAGTCCTCGGCCACCCTGCTCACCCCTTCCCCTCACCGGGGCTGCTCGCACTGAGCCCCTCCTGGGAGCCCCGCTCAGCTGCGCTCCTAGACACGAGTGATGGGTTAGAGAAAGCCAGGCCCGGAGAGTTCATTCCTGTCCGGTGCGCCTGAGGTCTGTCTACTAAAACAGAGGAGATGAACAAGTCAGCCTCTGCCCTGGGTCGTCTTTACCTTTGGAGATGGGAGGTGGGAGCGTGAGGATAACTAGAAAGTGTCCTTGACTCAGGGCAGGGACTGTCAGCGTCCCTCAGAGGGAGGCCGCCTGGGCTGGAGCCGAGCACCGTCCCTCCCGGGACCCAGAGTGCAGGCTGTGCCAAGTGGGGAGCACAGCAGGAGCTTGGCCTGATTCTACTCCTTGAACAATGTAAACATCCCCTGGGAAGCCACAGATACCTGAGGAAAGCAGGAAGGGCCCAGGGCTGAGCTGAGGACGAGAGCACAGGTCTTGTCTCCCAACAGCAGGGGCTGCCTTTGAGAAGAGAGCTGGGGTGTCTGTGAAGGCGAGAGGCCGAGTCACAGACACCGCTGGCTCTGCAGAGATAGCCGAGTTACAAATCACAGGCCATCTGGGCGTGCACACAGTCCCTCACCCACGCCATCAGGCGCAGACATCATTATCGGCAGCAGCATCTCGGAATACAAAGGGCTCCGGCATGTATATATGTATGAACGCCGTGTTCTGGTTCACGAGGGACGAGATGAAAGCCCTGCAGTGAGGCTGGGAGGAGCCGAGATCTGGGCAGCTGGGGATGCTCTGTGGTGACAGCCGCGGGAGGAAGATGATCACTTAATAGTCTGTCCTCCCTCCGCGTGCCCGTGTCCTTTGTTTCCTGCACCCCAGCCCGGGACCCGCCACATAGTAGGTACTCAGAACACGTTGGCAGCTCACCTACAGCCTCCAGCACAGCAACTCACCTCAGTGAAAGCCAGTGAGCGCCTGATCGGCTGAAGGCGACGCAAGGGATTAACCGTGCTTTCTTCCCTCACAGGCTTGGCTTTTTTGTGGGGGCTCCTTATCCTCCTGAAATACCGGTGGCGGAAGTTGGAAGAGGAGGAGCAGGCCATGTATGAGATGGTGAAGAAGATTATAGGTGCGTGGTCCCGGGTGAAAGGGCTGCTGGCCCCCGCCAGGAGGTCCTCACCCTAAACAGTGCCCTCCATCTTGCAGACGTGGTCCAGGACCATTACGTGGACTGGGAGCAGGACATGGAGCGCTACCCGTACGTGGGCATCCTGCACGTGCGTGACACCCTGATCCCTCCACAGAGCCGGTAAGTCCTGGGTCTGACTCCGCTGAGTGCCCCGCTGAAGGAGACCCAGAGCCTCGCATCCGTCACGGGGGCTGGGGGCCAGCTCAACCCCAGCATCACGGGTCGGGACATCCTCCACACCTCCTGGCTCCTCCAGCGATCTGCTCTTCCTGGCGGAATGCACACCAGGGGGTGTGGAAGTGTGGCCCCCCTCCTCTGTACAGGCGCAGCGCTGTTAGTGTTCATCCTCAAGAGGGTGCTTTGGGCAGCGAGTACCAGACCCCCTCCCCCAGGGGCTCAGGCAGGGAAGGACCTGACGAGTTCCCATGAGAAGAAGTCGGGAGTCCTGTGGGCTCCAAGCACAGCACAGTCAGGTCTCTGGTTTCATTTTTCTGTGATTCTCGTGGTCCTGCCCTCCATGGGTGTTGTTAGGTGGCTAGAGTTCCCTGTAGTCACAAGGTGGTGGCCAGCAGCTGGAGCAATGTCTGCCTTGTCACAGCCAGCAGGGCAGAGGTGGACTTCCTGTTGCTCTCATGAGCAAAAGAAGACATTTCAGGGACACACTGCTTGAGGCTCTGCTGGCCAGAACTGGTTACTTATCTATTCTCGAATCAGCCACTGGCAAGAAGGAGGAGATTGTTTCTCAAACATTTGAACCATGACCCACAGTCAGAAACCTATGTTACCTAAAATATCATGGTCCAGTTCTCACACACATGTGGACACACACACGTACATGTAGGTGAAATCAGTTTCACAGCAGCAAATGGCGTCGGCTTCCTGGGCGCACAGCTGCATGGGAAGGGGTGGCAGGCCATTGTCACGCACAATTCCAGCACCACCTTCCACACGGGCTGCAGATGCTAGATGGATCCCTGACAAAACCAGGGGTGAGGTAGAGCCAGGAGGCAGCCAGCAAGGCCCCCCGGTCCAGCTCAGCTTGCGGGCCCTCCACTGCAGATTCTGCTGCAGTCTCCGGCTGGACGCCGTCATCTCGCCGATGACGCTAAGCACTCACACTTGCTGTGTGCTGGCTAGGAGCCCTCTACAGTACAGACGCACTCGCTCCTCACCATGGCCCTAGGAGGTGAGAACAGGGGGTACCCCATTTTACAGATGAGGAAACTGAGGCACAGGAGGATAAGGAACTTGCTCAGAGGCCCAAGGCTGGTGGCATTCCTGTGCTCTCATTGCCAGGCTCTGCAGTCGAGGTCACCCCTTTCTGTGCAACACAAGAGGAACTGGAAGAATAGAACGTTTAAGGGCCCCTTTTAAATGTGAAGATGCTTAATGTTCATACCCACTGTACCCCCTGGAAGGTGGTAGGCAGGAAGCTTAGAGAGAGCAGACTGACTGTGGTGTGTGGCTTGTGCTTGCTGCCGGTCCCCAGTGTGAGGCAGCCACATGGCCCTCCAGTCCCCAGGGGAGGCCACTTGGTGTATTCAGACTCGCACCTGATTCCTGGCCCTGCCTGGAGTCGCCATGTGATCCAGGTAACGACCTCTATGAGCCACAGTTTCCTCCTCCATAAAACAGAGGGAACCCCATGCCTTGCGGAGGGAGGTGGGGACGAGAGGCTGCCGTGATTCATTCACTCAATACATGCCCTGTACACCGGCTCCGGGGGACAGTGGGGAGTGGAAGAAGCAAAGATCCCTGCCCTGCGGGAGCACTGCTTCCAGGGAAGGAGGGGGGTGACAAGATAGGTGAGGAAAATGTGTGCTGTTAGGTAGCGGCAGGTCCTGAGGAAAAGGGGAGCAGGAGTGTGGGGGAGATGGCCCCCACTCCCTAGGTCAGTGCCTGGCCCGTGAGCCCCCATCAAAGGGCAGCCGTCACCACTTGGGCTTGAATTACATGCACCACATGTGCTCCCTTGAGTCAGAGAAGGAAGTGGCGTTATAGCCTGTCTCGGGCCTGAGCCAGAGGGCCTCAGCCCCTGTCTGCAGCAGGCGGCCACCCTGCAGGTCCGAGCCCCCGTCTGTGAGCCCCAGAGGCTCATGCCCCATTAGCCCTCAGCCCCTTGATCATCTCCCAAGCCCCCCGCCAGTGCAGCCAAGCTCTCGACGCGTGAGGAGACCCCAGCCCCCATGGGCCCCGGGAGGGTTCATTTGGCTCTGCCCCTGGGACCCGGGCCTGCTCCTGAGAGGCTGAGGGAGCTCTCAGGAGCTTGCTGAGTGAGGAAAGCAGGGGGCTGATGGGAGCAGCTCACTCGGCAGGCTTGTCGTCACCTGTTAACGGGCAGCCTGGGAAGGAGGGGCAGGGGTGGCACCCTGGCCCCCACATAGTGCTGGCTGCCTCCCCTCGGAACCCCATGTGAGGGGCTCAGTCCCCAGGGCATGTGGGACCTTCGCCTGACCAGCCAAGTGGGGGCTGCTGCCAGCTGTGGGGTTTGGCTGGTGACAGGACCTGACCCCTGGGGAAGAAAACCCCGACACCCCACTTTGCCTCCTTACAGGCCCCCTCGGGAGCTTCCTTCCACATGTCCTCCCGGGGTGAACCTTGCTGCTCCCCCACACACTCGCCTTCACCCTCCCCTTGGGGGTCACGGGGGTGGTCTGCAGTGCTGACCAAAGGCAGGAGCTCATCAGAGGGAGAACACCAGAGCCACCCTCCCCGACTGCCCTGGAATCTTCCTGTCTAGTCTGAAAGGGTGGGGCGAGGAAATAGGGGCTGTCCAAGGGGGTGCAAGGCCCAGGGGACCCAGCAGAGCAGGGAGTGTGCACACTGGCCCAAGGCCTGAGGCTGGCCCGCCAGGAGGTGGCTGTGGGTCCAAGAGCAGCTCCACCGTCTCGGCCTCCCCGATTGGATGCTTGGTTGGATGCTTAGCTCATCCACATCCCCTGAAGTGCCGTGGAGTTCTCAGCAGCCCAGTGGCCACTCTTTAATTAGCCCACATGAGGCATTAAAATGCATCCAGCCCAGCGGTGGGGCGGCCTGGCCCGGTCTGCCGCAGTAACAGGCCCCAACAAGAGTGGGCACAGCATGGTCCCCTCCCTTTGGACACCTGGGGATGCCCCAAACCCCTCCAGCCCCTTTCAGCTCCCTTTAGTTGAGTGCTTTTGGAGCAGACAAGGTTGAGGAATTATTTCTCTGTGGCCCAAGAAATTTCTCTCCTCTGCAGGGGTCCCGTTAGTACCTGCCGGTTTCTCCCGCAGCCAAGTCTGCGCGGCCTCTCGGAGCTCGGTCCCTTTGTGCGCTGGGCCTGCAGACCCGCTGAACTCTCGGGAGGGCAGGGCGGCCGGGGACGGATCGCCGGCTGAGCCTGGCCTCTCTCATTGCAGGAGGCGCATGAAGCGGGTCTGGGACCGGGCCGTGGAGTTCCTGGCCTCCAACGAATCCCGCATCCAGACGGAGTCCCACCGCGTGGCGGGAGAGGACATGCTGGTGTGGAGATGGACTAAGCCCTCTTCCTTCTCCGACTCGGAGCGCTAACCGGCGCGGCCTCCTCCCAGCCAGCCCGGGCGGGCCTGAGAGGGCGCGCCCGCCGGGCGGAATTCCGCTGCCTCGACGCCGCTCGCCCGCCCGCCGGGGCCGCAGCGGCTCTGGACTCCTCGGACGGGGCGCCGTTCGAAGGGCGGGCTTCGGTGAAGGGCGGAGGGGAGAGGCCGGGGCCGGCGGGCTCGCGTGTCCTCCGCTTGGTCCGACCCTCTCTGCCCGTTTTGCGGGCAGAAAAGGGAGAAGGGTTTGCTTTTCATGACTGGAAGAGGTGAAAGAGCAGTGGCTGAGTGCCCGCAGAGCACGCGTGCCGCAGGGTGGGCTGCAGCTGCCCCCGCGGCTGAGGCTCGGCGGTGCGGTGGGCGTCGCACCTGTGGGAGGTGGGTCGGGACGGCGGGCTGGGGGAGCAGCTTGGTCCATGTGCCTTCAGGGGGTGTTACCTGGGAGCTCGAGGGTGAGGGCAGAAAGCCCGTCCTCCAGCTGGATTGGGCCTCTTCTATCCTGAAGGGGGAAGGTGCTAGAACTTAGAACAAGTACTGTAGAACTATCCAGAAACGCCGGGCCCTGCGGTCAGGAGCGGTGAGCTGCTGTGTGGCCTGTGGGAGGACCCTGGAGGGGCACAGGGCCCGAGAGCAGAGAGGGCCGGGGCTGCCAGCGTCCCTGCGGCCCGTCCGAGGCAGCCCGGGGCGCGCCTCTGCAGTGGTGCTTCGCACGGCAGCGGCCGGTCCAGGCCAGCCCTGCGGCCGCAGCCCTGCGTCAGGCCGAGGCGCCGATTCCAGGAGCTCGGGTGTCCCGCTCTTGTGGCGTGGGGAGGGCACCGTGTTTACGGCGGCGGCAGCCTCCCCGCCCGGGCAGTCCAACCAGAACTTCCAGCGCAGCGTCGCGGGGAGCGCGGAGGCCCTCTGCCCTCTGCTGGCCGCCGGGAGCGCGCCCGCGCCGCCGCAGCGCTGCCTCGGGGCCCCCGCCCGCGCGTGGCCCGGTGTCGGAGGCGGTCTCCGGAAGCGCCCCGGCTGGGGGCCTTCTTAGTTAAGTGCAGGCGCCTCTCCAGCAGAGCCCCATTCCCGCGTGTTCTCTGCAGGCCCGAGGGTGAGCGGAGGAGACGCCACAGCTGCGCCGAAGGCGTTTGCCACCCCTTTCTGTCTTATTGGTGTTTTTGGTTTCCTTAATAAAGCTCCGGTCTCCCTCTTTTGAGCAATACTCTCTCATTTCCTCTGATGCCTGGATGATCGGCGGGGCTGGAATCAGCGCCAGCCCCGTGGCAAGGAAACGGTCTCATAATCAGGCTCCAGCCGGAAGAAGAAGAAACTGCAACAGGCTTCGGCATCGTGGCTGAGACTGTTGGAGAAATAAACTGTTTATTAAAAATGGATGTGTTTCTCAGCCGTGGTTCTTTCCTTTTCCCCCCAAAGCGATGTATGAGGAACGGCGGTGTGCGGAGTTATTAAGCACTGGCTCTGGGAGGGGTCAGCTGAACAGAAGGCAGGGCGGCTGAGCAGGGGCTCCGGCGGGGCCTTCTCCGCACACCCGCCTTCCTGCCTCTGGGCCGCAGCCTCTTAGCGGCGGGGTCCTGAGGCAGACTGCGTACCCTCTCAGAGCCTCAGCTTCCGCGTCTGTAACACGCAGTGCCGACCCTACACTGCAGGGTGATGCTGGCCTGGTTCCAGTGGGGGGCGACAGAACCTCTTTCTTTCTGCCCCATTTCTGCCTTGCATTAAGGCCCCAGAGGCTCCCCTGGGGTGCCCAGCACCAGCCCTGGGAGGGGGAGGAAGGAAGGGCAGAGTGAGCTTGGTCCAGCTCCTCGGTAGCTGATAGTGTCCCCTAAGGAGGCAGGAGACTGATGTCGGTGGCAGACCTGTCTCCTCTGGGCCCCCACACTGAAGAACACTAGTATAGCCTCGGGGACACACGGGGGTCCCCCACCTGCAGGGGCAGGCAGGGCTTTGCAGGGCAGCGGTTTGCCAAGTGCACTTCTGGGTCCTCAGTTCACCAGCACCACCTCTATCTACCCTGGGGCCCAGCAGGCATGTGGGGAGAGCTGGAGGTATTTGGGGTTGGCGCCAAGATCCAGCCGGGCCTTCCTTTTGCAGGGACCCCAAGGCCTGGGTTGGCCCTGGAAGAAGGCAGCCTCTGAGCCACTGGCCGCTCCCACCGCCCTGCTGCCACTGTCCACACCGGTCCCATCTGTGGGTGGTGACTGGCGCGTGAGCACTGGCCTGCTATCCTCCCAAAGCTGGAAACTTGGTGGGTAAATTGAGTCAAAGGACCCAGAAACAACCCAGAAAAAAATGAGCCCATCTTTCCCTTTTCTGTTTCTCAGTGGAAGAGTCCCCTCTGCCTGTTTGGTCTGAAGCTGAGAAGGGAGCTAATGCGGGGCTCTATTTCTCTGAAGCTGTTTGGAGAGCAGGAGCCAGATCAAAATAAACGAACCAACAAAAGGCCCCCCCGCCAGCCAGGCCCCTTCCTTTATGGCGCACGCTGTGCCCGCACAAAGGCCCGGGGTGCGGCCTCAGGGCTGCAGACGTCTCAGATCCCGCTCTGCAGCCTCCCTCGCCTTGGAGGGGCCCAGCCTCCCTTTTAAGCAGCTCGTATTTCACAGGGGACAGCGCGGGGTGGGGGGACGTGCCTGGGGAGGGCTTCCGAGGGCATCCTGGGGAGGGGGGGGAGGAGCTCTGCTGGGAAGTTTCTGTCTCTCCACTCGGTCCCTTCCAGGCGCTCAGACCTGTCTTTCCTCGGTGACAAACAGCCCTCTCGGGCTCAGTGGGCACCGATAAAGATGCTTTGGGGGGTGAGGGAGGGAGAGGCTGTACCCCATGAATCTCGGCTGTGGAAGTCCACCCAGGAGCTCCAGGCCACCTTCTTGACTATCTGCTCAGGAAAAAGGTAAACACAGCCATTTGTCACTGACTTATCGTAAGCACTGTGCTAGCAGCTGTTCCCCCTTAATTAATACACCGTTGACTTTGAACCTCAAAAAAAATCCCTCTGGTAAGGCAGATGTGTGGACTCAAATCCATTATCCTGTCGCCCCCCCAAAGCAAAGGGCCAGGGGAGTGGTTTGCAGTACGTCAATTCAGTTGTTCCAAAGCAGCCCTCCCCGGCAGCCAGGCCAGCCTCTCCACCCCTGCCCCAGAGAAAGTTCTGGAGGGAAGGAGAGAATCTGGACAGAAGGTCCCAGGATGCCCCAGGGGAAAGAGAGGCCCAGGGGATGAGTGGGGCTCACCATGCCACCTGCTGCTGCCGTGTTTCTGGGGGCGACTCTGCACCCAGGCAGTGGGCAGGGTGGAGGCGGGGACTCAGCATCATCAGGACCAGCTCTGCCTTTTATCAGCCAGGACCTTGGGCGAATGGCTTTATCTCTGTAGCAGGGGAAGTTATCGAGAAAGATGATAAAATTAGCCAACGCTTGACAGCATCCTGACACACTCCTGGTGAGCTGTAGCCCACTGAATCCGCACAACAACCCCACGCGGTAGGTGCTGTTCTTATTCCCTGCACGTGAGGGGAAACTGAGGCACAGAGAGGTCAGGCAGGTAGTGGAGCCAGGCTCTGAACCCAGACAGCCCGGCTCCAGAGTCTGTGTTCTCAGCCCTGCTCTCTTCCCTTCTCCAAAGAAAGGAAGGGGAAGCCACTCTCAGATTTGTTGTGCTGCTGTGGATTTGCCAGAACAAAATAACACCACCTTGTTCCAGACGAAGAACCCAGAGAGGCTCTGGGAGGCTCCTCTGACCTGCCCTCCTGCTCTCCCTCCATTCTAATCAGGCCACGCCTTGCTGCCCTCACCTTCACCTGGCCTGCTCCTGCCTCTGAGCCTCTGTACTTGCTGTTCCACCCACTCTGCTGTTCCCCCCGGATCTCCATGTGTCTCAGCTCCTCCTCTCCTTCAAACCACCGTCCCCCTTTGGGGCTATAGCCCAACCCTACCCATACACCCTCTGGGGCCCAGCCCTCCTTTATTTCTCTCCTAACACCAGACGTGCAACATATTTTACTTCCTGGCACACCTCCCCTTGCAGGTTGCCAGCCTGTCACCTGTCTCCCTGAAAGGTCCCTATCCCCCTCCCCAGGGAAACAGTGGCCACAGAGGGAACCAGTCTGGCTTGTCTGAGGGGAGGGGCTCTCAGGCAGACAGACAGGGAGGAACCAGCTCCCCGGGTGAGAGTGTGGGTATGTCTGCTGGGTTTCCTCACATGGACACTCGAGGACCTGCCAGCCACGGAATCGTATGACAGAAGGATCCGTGGTGAAGACAATCTAGGGGCCAGGCCCCCTCCCCTCTGCCAGGCACCAATCCAGGGAAGCACCAGGATTCGTGTAAGACGCTGGTTGGGGAGGCCCTTGGTCAGAAACGTGACCGCTCTGCAGCCCTGGTGAGTGAGGGCTTGGAGCGGATTCCACGTGATTTCTAAAGAAAGCGATGGGACGTTTCTTCCCGTCAGAGTGTGGGCCAGTCTGTGGCTGAGGCCCCTGTGAAGTCACGGGCAATCCTCTCAACATCGCAGGGTGTGGGGAGACTCCAGGCAAACCAGGGCAGTGCTGTCCGCCACCGGGGGCCAGGCTGGGCTGCCCGGGCCGGTGGGGGGCCAGGTGGGGGAGCAAGAACCTGCCGGAGCAGGGTCTCGGGAGCGGGGAAGAGCTGAACAAGGTCTGAGAAGAAAGAACAGAAGAGGTGTCACTGGAGATTACAGGCCAATTGCTAAGCTGCTTCTGTTTAGGAAGGAGACAGGGGAAAGTACAGTAATTTTCTTCAATGAAAACAGGCAACAGAATTCCCTTTGCCTCGTTCCCCTTGCAATTAAGCCCTTCTCTGCAAATGAAATGATTCGGTTTTCGTGGGGACTAATTTAAGCACACTGGAAGGGCCACTGAACTTTCTGATTGCAAACACCAGCGTGTGCAAAACAGAACCCCAGGCAGCGATGCCGGGCGGGTGAGGCGGGCCCTGCCCTGGAGTCGGGGCTCCCGTGGGGTGAGGTTGGAAGAGCCCTGGGTTGGGAGTCCAGTTCTGCCCCTAAATCCATGACCCTCCCTGTGTGGCTGACCCTCTTGCCCTCTCCAGCCTCCATCCCGCATCCCAAGTGAGGAAGTTGGACTAGACCCCGGGGGGCAAATTCAGAAGCTCTGATGCGTTTGGGGACAGCGATGAGTGAAAGATGCCACACATTCTCTGCCACTCCTCTTCAGCAAGAGGTGGAATCTTTTTCCCCTCCCTTGAACCTGGGCCAGCCCAGGGCCTGCTTTGACCAATGGAATGTGGCCAGAGGGCCGCCAGCCAGTTCCCACCAAGGGGAACCACTTTCACCCTCTTGGGCCCAGAGCCACGATGTAAAGACGAACCAGCTGGCCTGCTGGAGGGGCCTCGTGGGCAGACAGATGCCCACTGGCACCACAGCTGTTCCAGCATCCCAGCTGGCACGGCAGATGTGTGAGTGAAGCCACTTGTGCCAGCCCCGTGTGAACAGAGATTAGCTGTCCCCACCCAGCCCTGCCCAAATGGCAGAATCATGAGGAAGCACATGGCTGCTGTCTTAAACCACTGAGTCCGTGTTATTACAACTTTGTAATTTGAAATAGTTTGAGACTCACAGAAGATGCAAACATAGTACGGAGATTTCTCGTGTACCCTTCACCCTGCTCCCCCCAGTGACAATATCGCACATACCCAGGGCATATTGCCAAAACCAGGACCTTGACTTGATACAATACTGTTAACTCCGGCACAGACCTTCTTTAGGTTTTATCAGTTTTACACGCACTTCGTGGTGTGTGTGTAGATCTATGAAATTTTATCACATGGAGCCACTAGTTTTCAGGGTGGTCTGTTACTTGGAACAAACAACTGATACCGTCTGGATGAGCCCCCTGGGAATGTGTCTTACCCAGCATTCTTCACTTGAAAGTGACAGAAACGCAGCTCAGACAGACTTCAGCACAGGTGGACACACAGCTCAGATGAACAAATCCACTGAGATGTGGGGGTGGGCGGGCCCCAGAGCAGCCCCATCCAGGCAGGGGGAGCATCTGGGCCACCTGTCCTACGAGGGCTCCTCCACCCAGCCGCCACCCTCTGAGGACATGTGAGGGAAGGGAGAGAAGGGAAGGACTCCGATGGCCTGGCATGAGTTGGGGGTGAGGGGCAGGGCAACCCCTGGGGAGAGAGCAGATTGGTCAGAACTGAACCCCTGAGTGCTGAGACAGGAAGAAGGAAAGACACACCCTGCAGAGCAAACACAGTGAGAGACGAGGGCAAAACCTGGGCACAGGGACCCCAGGGTGGGAAGTGGATGCTGGATTCAGAGAACCAGCATCCAAGTGGCTTGGTGGGAACTCGCGTTGGCCCTGAGGGATGGGAACAGCCACTACACACAGT